CCAACACACAAGCACCGGAAACGGAAATGAGTCGACACGCTTACCGCAGTACATCAGCAGACACTCTTGACCGTCTCCAGCATCAGATGTTTTAAAAGTAATTGGTGGCTCTTAAAAGACAAAAGGTACAGATCCATCTCCAAAGAAATAGTAAACAAATATCTCTGGCAATGTTTGGCCTCTGCTGTGGATTTGATGCTGCACACAGCTTCTTCGTTTCCAGATGATGGTAAGGGCATCCTGGGTGTGTTCACGGTCCTCAAGAAGTTATGCAGGTCACAGGTAACCTTCAGATAACCGCCCGTTGACAGGGCTGATCCCTATGACCAAGCATTCCGAAAGAACTTAGCCGCTCGACAAATACTGAAAAAACTGGTGAAATACAGGCACTGAAAATGTTACACTTTCCTTTTGTACTCAACTTTGATATCCTGAAATATAAAAAACTAAGGCAAAGGTTTCAACATCAAAGGTCAAAGTAGAACATCAAGGCACGCCAACTCATATAATTGTAACTCATCTAATTATCTCAATAATCATAGCCTATAATTAGCAAATAATTGACTACACACATTTGTGTTTAGGAAACTAAGTAAACCTACTAAACAGTAGGCTACCTTGGTTGAGTAAGTAAGAGGCCAGTATGCTGAAATGTCTCAATCTGAGTTCATTGTTAATTGGTTTATTATAGGCCTATGTACCTTGATATGACATTGCATATGAAACCAGGTGCGATAAAAAAAAGTTTGGAAACTGGCTTGGAACGCTCCCAGGAAGTCACTTTATTTAAGCTTATCCAACATCTGTGATGTGTGATGTGATCAAATATTATCTCTGCTGTATCAAAATAGCTACACTTCAGCATGAACCCCCATTGGTGAACTGCACGTTTCCAAATGCACTGTGAGAGTGCGTTGTGATGATAGAGAACCCAAATGCCAGTGCGCCACAGTTCAGGTCCTCCCAGGGTGCGAACTACGGGGGAGCTTAGCTCTTTGTACAGTAAGACATGAGCTCCCCTAACGACATGATTTGTTAAATTTTGGGGGTCATCAGGTTTCATCCAGCCACAGCTGCAGAGGGAACTACTGCAGTGTGGGCTTCTCCACAGCGCCACGCAACTTCCTAAACTCTTCCCTCCCAGGATCAGACCGTCTGAGTTCAACAGTAACGTTCTGTGTCTGACGCTGAGGCTACATCAAATGATTGAACTGTGGCATTTGTTGTCTCCGTCTAATAACACGCATGCTCACAATGGGGGAGATAGATGATCTCTAATGCACTTCCTAATACAGGAAAATCTGGTCACAGAAGTGTAAACGTGTATGTTAATAGTTATTAGTTATTAGTTTATGCTTTTAATGTTCATTTGTGTTTCCATATAGCAGTTATTTGCAAATTTGATTAAATCTGGGCAATAGTAAGCTTAATAATAAAATATGATATTATTGGCTTGCATCTGCCATCTAGGCAATTTTGGATGGCTATAGAGCTACAGGTCATAAATGATCATCTATGGCTAGAAAGATCCAAATCTCCTTTTTCTTTCTCGGGGATTTGTGCGAATGTGTGCAGTCTTGAGTATAAAATTAGGCTAACTAGACCATATTAGGTCTAGACACCTGCTGCTCATTGTCTCTGAATCCTTCTCGTTGGTTCTGTTGGTTCGCTGCCATCGATCTTTATGATATCATGAACACTTTACTTTCCCCAGCATTTACTAAAATGAGCCTTAATCTGTGAGGCTAAATAACAGAACACCTTTGATTTATTCATCACAAACTACATGCTCCAAACAGCTGAATCACCTCCTCTCATAAACTGTTAATCACTTAATCATGAAGGGGATTTATTGCATTATTTAATTAGATGACAGTTTATTAGTGAAAACTAAGTGTATAATTTTCAGCAGACACTGCACCGTCTTAAGGCAGAGAGGGAGAACCACAGCAGGAATGGAAGTTCTCTGGGAGAACCTTAATTTTGAAGCCTGAGGCACAAACTGATGGAGCTCACTGTCCAATCAGAAGCAGGGGGCTGATGAAGTCCCGCCCACCAATGAAGGGAAATATTCAGTAATAACTTTGTTTTGTCAACCAGACATTGTGTTGAATTTGGTTTTGATTTAAAAAACAAACAAAAAAAGAAGAAATCAAGCTGAATGTTGTTTTTTTATTTTGGGCCTAAAATTCAAAAAACGGAATAATGACCTGTTTCTAGTTCAAAAACAAACTATCAAAATGTACACAGACCGTCGTCACTGAGCTCCTTTGTTTTTGGTTATGGGTTTAAAACAGAAAAACAAAAAACAACTTGTTTTTTGGTTTTTCCGATTTGATTTTGAAACGAAATAATGAAAGAACGAACCATTCACAGAATCTCATGCAACTAAAAACTTCCAGTTAATCATGAACAACGTATTCTTAAATTTAGATGTTTACAGTAGAATAAGCTATACATGTGGTAACCGATTATCATTTCAGCTGACACAGCCATATACTCATACAGTATTTCAGTTTTGTACATAATTTGACCAATACTTTGATTAATTAGTCCTCAAGATTGAATTTGATAGATGAAGTCTATTTGTTCACTCATAACTAAATTGTATGATTTAATGCTTTGCAGTAGTTTGATTTTACTCTTCTCTATTCAGCAAATCATTGAAGAGCATTTTTTTCTCTCCTTGTTGTAAGTTAAAAGGAGGAACATCATGGTCATGGTCTATTTAAAAAAAAAAACAACTGTATTGACCTTTTGTGCTTTATAATCATACTGAGTATTTGAATATGTGAGAATGGCCAGGATGAGTCTATAACACTGAATTTGGGAATGGCTGTTAGGGACTCCTTCTGAGTCACTATAAGGCTAACGGCCAAGAGCTTCTTTGAAATTGCCCGTGTTTGTATTAAAACTAAGAAGTTGGTAAAGGGTTTGCTTTATTGGGTGTCGATGAGGGTCCCAGTTTGGAAAATGTTGTCCCCTGTCCAAAATTTCTAACGGCGGGCCTGTCTGTATGGGTCCTTGTAATAACAGTCTGAGCTTGTCAGTGGCCAAAACAAGCTCTTTAGTGTAAGCACTTTTATAGGGTGTAAGGATTACTGCACCCCTGCTTCAATGCTGCAGCATGCTCATTCAGTACCACACCAATTTCAAAAAAATTGCCATTTGTCACATTGACACAAAAACTGGGGAAAATAAGCTCCTGTTAAGAAAATACTGTACTTTAGATGTCCCTCTCCATCTCCCTCGGGCAATGGAGCAAAACGCTCAACACCAAGCCGAACATGTAGCAGTCCTACTACATCTTTTCATCTTCCTCTCCTCGTTTACTCCTGACCCGTAGCGGTCCTACTACATGCCCACTGCACCAGCCATATCTCCTACTGTGGTCCCGACAATCACTCATGTGATAAATACTTCTCTGGCTTCGGAAACCTTCCTGACCATTTTCAAAAGGGCTAAACCTGCAGCCCAATCCTCGGTTCTTATCCTGCTCGACCTATCAGCTGCCTTTAACACAGTCAACCACAGGATCCTGCTATCCGCTCTCTCAGCAATGGGCATCTCAAGTAAAGCACTCCTGTGGTTTAAATCCTACCTCTCGGGGCGTTCCTACAATGTTTTGTGGCAAGGACAATTATCCTCCTCCCACTGCCTCTCCACAGGGGTGCCCCAAGGCTCAGTGCTATCTCACTGGGGCCGATCATTCGCTCGCACGGCTTCTCTTACCACTGCTATGCAGACACAGATACGCAACTGTGCCTATCCTTCCTGCCAGGCCGTCTCGATGCGGATCACGGACTGTCTCTCGGACATACAGTGGGGGAAATAAGTATGCGATTTGGGATTCTGTCTTTCACTGTTAGAATGTACATATGATTAAAATTGTAGATTGTTGCATTCTTTGTAAGTGGGCAAACCTGCAAAATCAGCAAGGGGTCAAATACTTATTTCCCCCACTGTATCTGCATGGATGAAGGCTTGCCACCTTCAACTAAACCTCTCTAAGACTGAACTCTTTGTCATTCCAGCCAAGCAATCTATCCACCATAACATCAAACTACAAATTGACTCCTCAACCATCACTCCAATCAGGGTGGTGAGAAACTTGTCATGATTGATGACCAGCTGTCCTTTTCAGACCATGTTGCTGTTGTCTCTCGGTCGTGCCGCTTTGCTCTATACAACATAAGGAAAATCAGGCCCTACCTCACTCAGTACGCCACCCAGCTTCTGGTACAGGCCATGGTTATCTCTCGCCTCGACTATTGCAATGCCCTCCTAGCAGGTCTCCCAGCTTGTGCGGTGAAACCCCAACAAATGGTTCAGAACGCAGCAGCGCGTCTGGTTTTTCATCAGCCCAAAAAGACTCATGTCACTCCATTACTCAGTGACCTCCACTGGCTCCCCGGGGCCTCCAGAATCAAATTCAAGTCACTAATGCTGCATACAGAGTGACTACTGGGTCTGCACCATCTAACTAAACTCCATAATACAAACTTATGTTCCTTCTCGGCCGCTACGCTCCTCCAACAAATGCCGTCAGGCTCTGCCATCATCACATCATCACACAAAGCAATCCCAGTCCCTGTTCTCATCTGTGACACCACGATGGTGGAACGAGCTACCACACGCCATCAGAGCAGGGGCGTCCCTCTCTAACTTCAAGAAGCTCCTGGAAACTCTGCAGAGAACACTTTCTCTTATAACATCTCTAACCTCTGACATTCACTTCCTGTGCCCTCTCTCTGTCTCCTTACAAATGTCTAGAATTAATTGCACTATTTTGTTAACTCTTACTTTTGTCTTTCCCCAGGTATTTACTCGACTGATGCTGTACTCATTATTAGCTCTTAATTGATGCTATTAATTGACTCTCTTACTAGTATCTATTAACAGTTGTAGATCTCCTGCTTTATTGATGCTTGTATGTTGTTATTCAAGTAAATTATTTTGGATAAAAGTGTCTTCCAAATGAGTAAATGTTACAGTACTTATATTTTCTACCTACTATGTTTATTGTTAAAAAACTGAAGCAAATTCATTTTGGGGGGAGGGATTAAAAAAGAAAACATGAACATTAAAGTATGAAATACAGAAAACAATTGACCAGTAAAATAAAGATGAAACTGTCCATCTGAAGATCCGTCTTCAGTTTCCTGTTCAGAGACAAGAAGACACATCAGTTAGTCCATACACACACACACACACAAAAACACGAAAATACTGGTACCTTCCACCTTCCAAAAATGTTTTACTTTGGATTTAAACATTACATATTTATAATAAGGAAAGAAACTGTTCAAATATATTGGTGTTCTTTACTTCATATTTTATTATTTTATTATTCTATATCACAGGCAGCTGTCTGTGACTGTAAATCAGGCTTTTGCCCTCTTCCATTGGTGCTTTGGCCGACTCTTAAGTTTGATGAGTCAGTCGATCAGATCAGGAGTCAGCTGAAAGTTTCTTCTCATCCATTCTTGGTATTTTTTGATATCTTAGATCATTATCCTGCCGGAAGACCTTTCACTGGGTTTCTAAATTCAACATTTCCTGCACAGATCCAAGCCCCTCTGAGGCAGAACAGCAGCAAAGCATCACTGAGCCTTGTGTTTCAATGTGTTTTGTCTATGATCATACGGTCTGTGTGATTTACCAAAACCTCAAATTTAGCTTAATCTGTCCGAAGAATGTTCTTCCAGATGGTCTATGGCTTGGCTACAAATGTAGTGCTACTGTTGACGTTGTGTTTCATAGAGATCGCACTTTGAAGCACAGTCTCACAGTTTCTGCCCCCTTTGCAGAAAGTCGGCCTTAATAAAAACTGTGAACACGGCCGCAATTCCAGTTACCAGCAAGCATTCCACTCAAAAGCCAGAGTTGGTTGGCTCTTCGTCTTTCCTTATGGATGGTACAGTGGGTACGGAAAGTATTCAGACCCCTTTAAATTTTCCACTCTTTGTTTCATTGCAGCCATTTTCCAAAAATCAAAAAAGACGAGGGTGCTGCGAAAATAACAAACCAAGTTAAAACAAAAAAGGTCCTCAAAAGGAGGCCTGTACCTATCTATCGTGTTAAACAGGGTTGATTCTTACTACAAAAGAACACAAAGAGCACAGCACCCACTCCACCTGGTGAAAACTAACACAATAGTAAACAGAACAATAATTGAATTTCTCCACTGCACCCAAATGTGGAGCTAACCTACAAAGGTATGCAAATGTTTACCTAAACACAATGTACAGCTAATAGGCAAGGAAGGTGGATAGTTCCACTACACACAAAGTACAACAGACAGGCTATGCAGTCAATACCAGCGGCACAGAAGTCAACAGGCGGTGACAAGCTGCCTGGAGCAACAGGTGGACTCTCCTTATGAGCCGGAGGTAATTAACGTGGGGACGAGCCATTGGTTGAGTGGAAAACAGAGGGAACCAATGGGCGGTACAGATGTCAGCACCCCAGAAACCAGGAAGTAGGCGGGTCTTCATTCCCCAGGGACACAGCCTACTGGGTAGAGTTGAGACAGGGAAAAGGGGAAACACAAGGGTGACAGCGACAGCCGTGACACTCCCCCCCCATAAACACAAACTCCCCAGTTTGGGAATTAACCAGTTTAGACCCAACTACTTTTTTCTCTATTATGATTGCAGCCTAGACAAGGCATCTGCAATAATGTTCTCTGAACCTTTCTTGTGCCGTATCTCCAGATTGTATTCTTGTGCAATCAACGCCCACCTCATGAGCCTCTGGTTATGGTTGTACATACGGGCTAAGAACACAAGTGGGTTGTGGTCTGTGTAAACTACCACGGGCAGAGAGGTGGAGCCAATATAGACCTCAAAATGCTGTAAGGCCAACAACAAAGCAAGGGTATCTTTTTCGATGGTTGAATAGTTAAGCTGATGGCGGTTATACTTCTTTGAGAAGTAACATACAGGATGGTCTATGCCCTCTACATCTTCCTGCAAAAGCACGGCACCAGCTCCCACAGCACTGGCATCCACCTCCAGCTTGAATGGCTTGGACAAGTCGGGGGCAGCCAGGACGGGAGAGTGGCAGAGGAGAGACTTCGCACTATCGAACGCGACTTGACATTCTGGGGACCACACAAAGTCTACTTTAGGGCTAAGCAACCTAGTTAACGGTTCGACCACGGATGAGAGTTCCTACAAAAAGCTTGGTAGTAACCAGCTAGGCCGAGGAACGAGCGCAACGCCTTACGAGTGGTTGGAACTGGACTCGAGGCAATAGCTTCCACTTTTGCCTCTACTGGCCGAACTTGACCTTGACCGACTTGACGGCCTAAATAGGTCAAAGTGGCCTTCCCAAATTCACACTTAGCGAGATTTATGGTAAGGTCAGCTTCAGCAAGGCGAGAAAACACTTCGGAGAGGGTGGACATGTGACTCTCCCATGTATCTGAGTAGACAATGAGATCGTCTAGGTAAGCATTACAATTTTTAACACCGGCTAACACTGTGTTAACTAACCTCTGGAAAGTAGCTGGAGCGTTACACATTCCAAAGGGCATTACCTTGTACTGTAAAAAGTCATCGGGAGTCACAAAGGCTGCGACCTCAGACGCACGCTCAGTAAGAGGAACCTGCCAGTATCCTTTTAAGAGATCTAGTTTGCTCACAAACACGGCAGTACCAAGGGTATCAACGCAATCCTCCATCCGAGGTAAGGGATACGAATCACGCACTGTGACCGCATTAACTTTCCTAAAGTCGGTGATAAATCTCGGTGAACCATCAGCCTTGCTTTCTACAAGACATGGTGAACTCCACGGACTGGAGCTAGGCTTGGCGAGGCCATGCTGAAGGAGGTACTCTACTTCTCCTTTCATTACATCACGCTTCATTACATTTGCGCGGTACGGGTGCTGCTTAATGGGTCGCGGGTTGGTAAGTTCGACATCATGTTTTAACACTTTGGTCCTACCTGGAACATCACTGAACAAACTCGGAAACTGAGTAACTAAACCTATCACATCCTGCCTTTGAGCAGGGGATAGATGTGGTAAGCAGGTAGGCAACTCCTCAATCGCCTCTGAATTGGGGAGACGAGAACCTGGGTAGAGGGGACAACGCGGCCGCAAATCGTCGACGTCTGGTACAGGCGTAGGGTCAGTCGCAACTACAGCTACCACTCCAGGCCGAGGTTTTGCACCAGTTGTGTCTGGTTTGAACCCCACAGCAGTACCCTGAGAGTCTGAGTCCTTTTCCCTAACATGATAGAGTTTTAGCATATTAATGTGCCAAACGCGGGTTTTCCTACGCCGATCAGGAGTGCTTATCACATAATCTGTGTCACTGAGTCTTTTGTGAACCTCATAGGGCCCTGAAAATTTGGCGGACAACGCGGTACCTGGTACCGGAAGTAATGCCAAGACCTTGTCTCCTAGACTAAAGTCACGTACAGTGGAACAATTGTAGTTTCGTTTCATCACGATTTGTGCGGTAGTCAACTTGTGCTTAGCGAGTGCATTAGCTCTGTGCAGTCGCTCGCGGAACTGACTTACATAATCGAGCATGTTGTGTGCAGGAACGGACTGCAACGAAAGAAACTGGTCATGCAATGTTTGCAGAGGACCACGGAGAGTGTGTCCAAACACAAGCTGGGCAGGGCTGAATCCTAATGATTCCTGTACAGCGTCGCGTGCAGCGAACAAAACGAAGGGGATGCTCTCATCCCAGTCAGTGCCATTGTCATGGCAATGTTTCTTAAGCATAGACTTTAACGTCTGGTGCCACCGTTCTAGCGCACCCTGTGACTCAGGATGGTAAGTAGATGAAACAATATGGCGCACATTTAGTGTCCCTAGTACCTGTTTAAACAGTCTGGACTGGAGATTAGACCCTTGGTCTGACTGTACTATCTGAGGTAAACCAAAAGTTGAAAAGAATTTAGTTAGAGCCCTAACTATGCTCCTTGCAGTGATGTTTCGAAGGGGGACAGCCTCAGGGAAGCGAGTAGCTGCACACATGATTGTAAACAGATACTGGTTACCGTTTTTCGTACGTGGCAACGGACCTACGCAGTCGATAATCACTCTGCCAAAAGGTGCTTCAATCACAGGTATGGGATGTAGAGGGACTGGGGAAAGTTTTTGGTTAGGCTTTCCTGTCACCTGACATACATGACAACTACGGCAAAACGTTGCTGTATCTGTCTTCAACCCAGGCAAGAAGAAATGTCTCAACACTGACTGATAAGTCTTAGTGACTCCTAAGTGCGCTGACCATTTACTTTCGTGGGCGACAGATAAGACATGCTGTCTGTAAACTGAAGGCACTACAATCTGATACATGCGTTGCCAATCCGCATCAAAAGCTACACCTGGGGACCATCTCCGCATTAACACACCATTTTCTAAGTAATACACTACTTTTTCGCCACTTGCTGCGTTGCTGTCACTCACCACATTCCTGAAGCAGGCCTGTAAGGTTGGATCCTCTCTCTGAGCCACAGCCAAGCGTTCTCTTGTAGCTGGCAGTGGTGGGGAGGAAGAGGACGGTTCCACCGCACTCTCCATAGATGCTGGTTCCTTGAGAGGAGTTGAATCAGCTATCTGCAAAGGCTTACAAAACACTGTATCAGCTAGCAAAATATCTGACCCATCATCACATGTCATCTGACGTGCCCGCGCACGAGTGACGACGCAGGCTGGAAATACCGTGGGCAACTCTGCGCTGCAGGCAGGGTCTCCTGGTACATCCAAGACTTCCAACATTGGAGTCACTTTACCCCCGGCTATGTCATTTCCCATGAGCAACACAACACCCTGTATGGGAAGCTCATCACACACTGCTACTGGGAAAAAACCACTGACTAGGTCGGACTGAATGTGCACCTTATGCACAGGGCGGGGCGCAAATCCCATTTCAATGCCCCTTAAGACGGACCCAAATCCACAGGCGGATTCAACTGAAAAGGGTAGCACGGAAGCTAACACAACCGATTGGGAACAAGCGGTGTCCCGTAACACTTTAACAGACTGCTGGCAATCCTGTAAGCGAAATCAGTGCTTTGAGTACAAATGGACGAAAACAGGGGTCAACCTCACTTTGGTTGTCACAGTTTAACTGAGGGCTGGGTAGATTGTTAATTAACCCAACACCCTTGGGCTGAGACCCATGCGACGACGACCGGTCTTTGCGTTTCAAAATCACACAATCCGCAATAACATGTCCCCTCTTATGACAGTAATAACACTGACGCACTTCTTCCTTCGGACTAGGATTCCTAGGAGGATTAGTCCGAGGTAGGTTTACATGACGGGAACTACCTACATCCTGAGGAAACGCTGGTTTGTGAATTAGCACATACTCATCTGCTAATGTAGCTGCAGCAGATAATGTTAACACCTTTTGTTCATTTAAGTAAATCACTATGCGTTCGGGTAGGCAGCGTTTAAGCTCCTCTATTAAACAAAGTTCTCTAAGTGAACTGAACTCAGCTACATTAGATGACGCAAGCCACCGATCAAAGAGAATTGTTTTCTCAAACAAACTCTGTGTAACTTTGCGTAGCCGGCTTCTTATGTGACCGAAACTTTTGTCTGTAAGCTTCGGGCACTAACTCATAAACTTGCAAAACTGCTGACTTAACTGTTTCATAGTCTGCACTGTCCTCTATAGAAAGAGCAGCTATAGCCTCCTGAGCTTTTCCCTGTAGCTTACACTGCAACAACAACGACCAAACCTCAAGCGGCCATTTTAATGCTAAAGCTATTCGCTCAAAAACTTGGAAGTACGAGTCCACTTCAGCCTCTCGGAACAACGGCACCAAAGCAATATTTTTGCCGACATCAAATCCGGGACTTACTGAGTCCAATTTGGATTAGGATTTGGATTGGCTGAGTAGGGGAGAGAAGTTGTACCACCAGAACCCGCAGCCCCACCAGCCATAGCTGCATTGGCGCTTTCTAGCTCCAACTTCCGCAGTCTCACCACCTGGTCAGCCTCAATCTCCATCCTCCTCACTTCGAGTTGGAGTTGCCTCTGACGTTCTCTGTCCTGTGCTTCATACTGGAGACGGGCAAGGCGTACCTTGAGCCGCGCTTCTCCTAGCGATTGAGCACTGCTGGCAGAGGACGGATCAAACCTGGGCAGCGTGAATGGCGTTGCCGGCCTTTCACCTACTTTGTCTGAGTCTGGTACGTCCGTGGCATTGTCAGGGGTAGGCGTGACCTCCCCTTTGGCAGCTGAACCAGCAACTGGGAACATGGGCTCTTTCTCGGGCGGTTCTGGCACTACAAGTATCCCCCTCTCAACTAATGCTAACCATAGCATAGGCTTCAACTCCTTTTTAAGAATGGTTTTGGGAACCGAGATGCTAAAGTGGGCTGCTAACTGGAGCAACTCGTCTTTCCGACACATATCAAATTTCTCTATTGAGGGCTGTTTTAGAAAGACCTCAATCTCAAAATGTGCAGCGGCCATGATTCCCTGAATCAGGCAAGCTGTACCTCCATTACCGTCAAGCTAGTCACTCAACTGTTACCAAGAACCAATTAATGCCAATTGGGATTCCTCTAGAAGGAGTATGCCGGACGAGCCCCCATATATGTTACGACCCCCCTGTTGGTCTAGGGGTGTTGGGGCCATAAACATATAGGCACAACTGGTAGATCTTAACAAGTAACGTTTATTGGTAACAGAAGAGATGTAGACAGGTAACAAAAAAACAAAAGGAGGGTGGACGAGGGTGCTGCGAAAATAACAAACCAAGTTAAAACAAAAAAGGTCCTCAAAAGGAGGCCTGTACCTATCTATCGTGTTAAACAGGGTTGATTCTTACTACAAAAGAATACAAAGAGCACAGCACCCACTCCACCTGGTGAAAACTAACACAATAGTAAACAGAACAATAATTGAATTTCTCCACTGCACCCAAATGTGGAGCTAACCTACAAAGGTATGCAAATGTTTACCTAAACACAATGTACAGCTAATAGGCAAGGAAGGTGGATAGTTCCACTACACACAAAGTACAACAGACAGGCTATGCAGTCAATACCAGCGGCACAGAAGTCAACAGGCGGTGACAAGCTGCCTGGAGCAACAGGTGGACTCTCCTTATGAGCCGGAGGTAATTAAAGTGGTGACGAGCCATTGGTTGAGTGGAAAACAGAGGGAACCAATGGGCGGTACAGATGTCAGCACCCCAGAAACCAGGAAGTAGGCGGGTCTTCATTCCCCAGGGACACAGCCTACTGGGTAGAGGTGAGACAGGGAAAAGGGGAAACACAAGGGTGATAGCGACAGCCGTGACATCATTTTATTTCTCAGTAATGTACACTCAGCACCCCATCTTGACAGAAAAAAACAGAAATGTAGAAAGTTTTGCAAATTTATTAAAAAAGAAAAACTGAAATATCACATGGTCATAAGTATGACCCTTTGCCGTGACACTCATATTTTTAGGTGCTGTCTATTTCTTCTGATCATCCTTGAGATGGTTCTACACCTTCATTTGAGTCCAGCTGTGTTTGATTATACTGATTAGACTTGATTAGGAAAGCCACACACCTGTCTATATAAGACCTTACAGCTCACAGTGCATGTCAGAGCAAATGAGAATCATGAGGTCAAAGGAACTGCCTGAAGAGCTCAGAGACAGAATTGTGGCAAGGCACAGATCTGGCCAAGGTTACAAAGACATTTCTGCTGCACTTAAGGTTCCTAAGAGCACAGTGGCCTCCATAATCCTCAAATGGAAGATGTTTGGGACGACCAGAACCCTTCCTAGAGCTGGCCGTCCGGCCAAACTGAGCTATCGGGGGAGAAGAGCCTTGGTGAGAGAGGTAAAGAAGAACCCAAAGGTCACTGTGGCTGAGCTCCAGAGATGCAGTCGGGAGATGGGAGAAAGTTGTAGTAAGTCAACCATCACTGCAGCAATCCACCAGTCGGGGCTTTATGGCAGAGTGGCCCGACGGAAGCCTCTCCACAGTGCAAGACACGTGAAAGCCCGCATGGAGTTTGCTAAAAAACACCTGAAGGACTCCAAGATGGTGATAAATAAGATCCTCTGGTCTGATGAGACCAAGATAGAACTTTTTGGCCTTAATTCTAAGCGGTATGTGTGGAGAAAACCAGGCACTGCTCATCACCTGTCCAATACAGTCTCAACAGTGAAGCATGGTGGTGGCAGCATCATGCTGTGGGGGTGTTTTTCAGCTGCAGGGACAGGACGACCGGTTGCAATCGAGGGAAAGATGAATGCGGCCAAGTACAGGGATATCCTGGATGAAAACCTGTTCCAGAGTGCTCTGGACCTCAGACTGGGCTGAAGGTTTACCTTCCAACAAGACAATGACCCTAAGCACACCGCTAAAATAACGAAGGAGTGGCTTCACAACAACTCCGTGGCTGTTCTTGAATGGCCCAGCCAGAGCCCTGACTTAAACCCAATTGAGCATCTCTGGAGAGACCTGAAAATGGCTGTCCACCAACGTTTACCATCCAACCTGACAGAACTGGAGAGGATCTGCAAGGAGGAATGGCAGAGGATACCCAAATCCAGATGTGAAAAACTTGTTGCATCTTTCCCAAAACGACTCATGGCTGTATTAGATCAAAAGGGTGCTTCTACTAAATACTGAGCAAAGGGTCTGAATACTTATGACCATGTGATATTTCAGTTTTTCTTTTTTAATAAATTTGCAAAAATTTCTACATTTCTGTTTTTTTCTGTCAAGATGGGGTGCTGAGTGTACATTACTGAGAAATAAAATGAACTTTTTTGATTTTTAGAAAATGGCTGCAATGAAACAAAGAGTGGAAAATTTAAAGGGGTCTGAATACTTTCCGTACCCACTGTATATCTCTCTTGCTTCTTATCCTACAACTAAGTGACCTACTAAGATCTGGAAAGACTCTGGAGCTTTTCAGTCTTTGATCCTCCAGGATTTTCTTCAGTTTAATGACAAGTCTGCCTTTGGCTCTTATGCTATTGGTCATGGTTTTGGTGGCAGTTACCTGTCCTTACCCATGGATAATCTTTACCTTCAAACTGCTTTGGTGTCTGGGGAGGTTGTTGTTGCTCTTTGTCCCTATATTCCTTTTGAAGGTGTGTCTTTCATTTTAGGCAGTGACTTGGCCAGTGGTAGAGTGCTTGCTGCTCCTGAGGTGGTTCCCTTCCCGGTAGCATCTAAAAGCACAGATGACCTTGAAAAGCAATTTCCAGATACGTTGTCTGTTTGTGTTGCTACTCGTGCTATGGCAAAGAGAAACCAAGCCAAAACCTGTGACTCAGAGATTGCGCTGTCTGACACTTTCATGGTAAATTTTGAGACATTAGGGTTTGGTACAGTGTTTCCCTCTTGTGAAGAGCTAAAAGTGGAACAAGGAAAAGATACAACTTTGATTTCCATCTTTGAAGAGGCTGTTTCTGAAGATACAGTTACTGCTGTTTCTTGTGGGTACTTTGTGAATGATGGACTGTTAATGAGAAAGTGGAGTTCTCCTAAGATGTCTTGCCATGATGAGTGGAGTAGTGTGTTTGAAGTTGTTCCTAAGGCTTTGGTGTCTTGCAATTGGCTCATGATCATTGTCTTGCGGGTCATATGGGCATCAAAAAGACTAGATCGTGTGCTGAGGCATTTCTTCTGGCCTGGGGTAAAATCTGACATTGCACAATACTGTAGAACATGCTATGTGTGTCAAACTGTTGGTAAGCCTAACCAGAAAATTCCACCTGCTCCTTTACATCCCATTCCAGTTATTGGAGACCCCTTTGCGCGGATTTTGATTGACTGTGTTGGTCCACTCCCTCGTACTAAATCAGGTAACCAGTACTTACTGACCATCATGTGTACTGCTACTCGGTTTCCTGAAGCTATTCCTTTATGCAGGATTACTGCTCCAGCAGTTTCTAAGGCCATGATCAAGTTTTTCATAACATTTGGTCTTCCAAGGATTGTTCAGACTGATGGGGTCAAATTTCCTTAATCACAACATTGATGTAGGTGGTCCAATTAAGCAACCTCCTTACAGAATTAACCCTGTTAAGCCTCAACTGTTAGGTAGGAAAGTATGCTATTATATGAGCTTTTGTAAGAACTTTGCTACTGTTGATGCTCCCTTGACTAACCTTCTCAGCCCAAAGGTCCTGTATGTTTGGTCCAGCGTTTGTGTCACTCTGCATTTGAGAACTTGAAAGCACTGTTAGTAAGTGCTCCTGTTCTTGCGGCCCCTGATTTTGATAGGCCCTTTAAACTAGCTGTTGATGCTAGTGATGCTGGTGTTGGGGGTGTCCTACTCCAAGAGGATTCAGAGGAAGTTGAGCATCCTGTATGCTACTTTTCTAAAAAGTTTGATGTACATCAGAAATATTATTCTACTATAGAGAAAGAGGCCTTGGCCCTTATTCTTGCCCTGGTTCATTTTGAAGTCTATACCTCTTCTTGTCTTCCCTAGTGGTCACAGACGATAACCCTCTTGTTTTTCTCGGCAGGATGAAAAACTCCAACCCCCGGCTAATGCGATCACATCCAACACATCCGTGGGAAGGACAATGTGTTTGCAGATGCCCTGTCTAGGTCGTATATGCAGTCAGTTTAGTTTTGTGAATGTTATTCTGTGTGACATTTAACTGAGTGGTTGCTTTAGAGCAACCTGCTTATGGGAGGAGGTGTTATGTCCAAAGTTACTCTGTGCCCTGTTTTGCAGGTATCCTGGAAGCTCCTCCCATCATTTCCCCAATTCCCTGGGCCTGCTGGCCAGCCTTTAAAAGCCCCTGTCTAGCTCCACCCACTCTCTCTCTCACACACTGCAGCCAGGAGCAGCAGCATTGTCACCAGCAGCCACCATTGTTCTCTGTCTGTTTAACTTTGTTTGCATTAAACCTTATTTTGATCGTAATAGATGGTTGTGACTCCGCTGTTTGCCTCCCTTGAGCCAGGGTCGTAACAGGTATTCTGTCTTTCTCTCTTAGAAGTGGGGTCTTCCTAGTTCTCCTTACTGGATCCCATTTCATTCAGACAGCAGTTTTTCAACTTTCACATGAAACTGCTCAGTGGTTAACTGGCATCTAGGGTGACCAGATGAGAATGGGTGAAATTCGGGACGGCTGGGGGGACGTGGCTACCAGTGAGTGTCAATGAACATTAACACACGTGAAAATCAAAACAACGCTAAAATTAGTTATTTTTTACATGCAGGTAGCAGGGATTGTCTGAGCTACAGAGAGCTGGAGAGGAGTTAAAAAGGTGCAGCACCCGACACGCAGTTACCTCCTGACTGTGAGGTTACAACTCACGGCAACACAACAAATGCACTTGTGCACATTTTCAGCTGAGGATTGCAGCTTACTTTGGCTTCAACTCAACAATCAATCATGATTTCAGTTAAATGCTAAAGTTGCTGTTACTGTTACCTTGTCTGTGGTCCGCTGGCAGAACAGCTTTTTGTTCAGCTGCCGTTGTGCTGTTGCCAAGGCGACATCAGTTTTGTTTTATGGTGGACGGACTGTGACGCAGAGTTGTTGTTTTCTTTAGCATGAAATAATAACATACTTTGGACACTTTCTTCTTTCTCCCTCACCATTTTCTCTCTCTTCCTCCAACGGCTACATTATAATCCTGTCGTGTTCACAGCGTAAGCGCGATGTGCGACAGTAATAAATGTCCGTGCGAAACACTGTGCTTTATAGTTACATGGATTAAATGAAGCATCGATGCAAAGAATTTGTGTTGAAGCATTTTATTAATTGTAAATCGTTTCAGCCCTACATCTAACGTTAGCTTGCTTTATACTTCAGCTACGACCTACCGGAGGTTAGGTCCGACTGTATTATAAAAAGATGAATGAGCGTTTAACTTGTGGTGGTTGATTAACGTAATCATTTCTGTCCCACAGGCTGCCATCACGTTAATTATTAACAATGGCTGCAAACAGTTTACAGGTTTATTGTTGATCATGACGTTACAGTTTTATTTAGTTTGGCTATAACCTTACTCTGATTTGAGAGTCTGGGGTGCGTGTTAACTTACAGTAGTTTAAATGACTGACTCACAGTGTCAGGAACAATTCATGTACAATAACCCCATAACTAGGGATGAGCGAGTACAGCATTATCTGTATCTGTGTTAACCATATGAATTATCTAACTAATTACCTAACCCTAACGGAAGTGTGCAGGATTTAACCCGGAAGTGGGTCGGGTTGTCTTGAAATGGGCGGGGCTTTATGTATGTATGTTATTTTAAGCATGCAATTGATATGGGTTGATCAGAAATTGTTATATTTATTGCTGATTAGAAAAGTATTTACATGACAGCATCAGCATTGAGCTTCAGATCAATGGTTTTGATCACGATAACAAACGAACTATATACAGAACAACACATGCGGTTGCAATTATGAAGTAAAATGTAATGAACAAGAGTTTTCATACTCAACATAACTTTCTTTTTTTAACGTTTAATTTTTTTTATAAGTGGGATTTTGTTTTGGTTCTTTTTTATTTTTTTTATTTCCACACCAGACGCCTGCACCACGGACCAGGATTTGAGCTTATCCAGGTACCTTCCGGGTTAACCCTGGGTTTTCAGCACCACGAGTGCACCTCTTACCGGGGTAGATCTCCATGGTAACTTATGCTGAAGGCTAACCTGCTCCACAGCAGGTTCTGTTGCAGATAAGAGATCAACTCTGTGAAAACGCGGCCTACTGGCCAATCAGCTCTCTTGGAAAATGACATCACCATCTGTAGGAAATCCCACAGACTGTTTTAGCCAATAGGCTGCTTTATGTTTGCAGCGGTGATGTGGAGAAACTCTTGACTATAGCGATATAATCCTGCAGAGACTGATTAAAAGCCTCAGGTTAATGTTGCCTACAGGTTTTTACAGTACAGCAGGATCAGCCTACTTACTGCTTTCAAATGTGTTTAATATTTTTTATTTGCTCCCCTTCCGTTTCACACACCCTGACGCAGCCGTTAAAATAAATGGGTTTTATTTTTCTTATGAGGCTGAATACCTATTATGAGCAGTTTGGTAGGGATATTGAAATACTACATTTTAATATGAATGTAGCTATCTATTTAGGTTAGTAAAGCTTTCTAAGGCCTACAATAGAGACTGTAGTCATGTTCATGTGAGTTTTCAGCAGCCTAAATGTTGAGATTCAGTCTTTCAAACATTATTTGAGCACATTTTATGGAATGAATGGAGTTTTCGTTTCATTGCTTTATGAAGTTAATTTAGAACAATGTTTGGACACTTTTGAGTGTGTTAAATAAATTAATCTCATTTTTTAAGTCAAGTTTTTTTAAAGTGAGGGAGAACGGCCCGAGTCTTTTAATGTGGAAACACAGCCGAGCTGAAAGAATAAGGCTGATATTTTCATTCAGCTCATGAGAACACTTTTTATCAACGACTATGACTGTTCATTTAGACATTCACACTGTCAGTGACTTTCTGTCTCCCTGCATGTATCAGATGCGGGCATGCTAGTGTCGTATTTCTGAAGTGTTAAAGTTTAATCCTCATTCATAAAATATGACGCTCTGCTGACAGTGGACTTGTTCATGTCTGTGATTGGTCATCTGCTGCTAACGCCGCCTCTTTTATGTGAACGTGCTCCCGGCTGGACTGGGAAACCCTGGGTTGATTTACTGAGTTGATAACCAGCTTCGTGGTGCCGTTTATCCCGATTGCGATTGTTAGGGTTAGTGAAGCCAGATAACGAAAACATATCCTGGGTTTGTTGAACTCGCTTCATGGTGCAGGCCCCAGGTGTGTGTGTGTGTGTGTGTGTGTGTGTGTAAGAGAGAGACAGAGAGAGAAAAAGAGAAAAAAGAGAATTCACACTGGCAAATTACTTGAGTACAATAAAATGTCCCAAACTAAGAAAAATGTTGACAACATACAGACTGAGTGAACACAGCCTGGCCATAGAAAAGCCACAGACAGAGCTGGCTACCACAAGAGGAGAGACTCTGCTCCCAGTGTGACAGGGGACAGGTAGAGACAGAGCTGCACTTTCTAACCTCATGCCCTAAATATAAAACACTAAGACAAAAAAACTTTGCAAATATTTCCCAAATATACCCCAAATTCGAATTCATATTAGACACACAGAAACTCACCTATTTACTGGGAGAAATGCCCAAATGTGAAATAATTGCTGCAAAATATGTCTCCT